AGGCAGTAAATTTAAGTGAGTTTAAGAAAAAGCTTGATAAGTATATGAATGAAAAGGGCTGGGGTTAAAATTTTATTTTATTCTTTTTAATCATTTTAATTTAGTTTTGAGGATGGAATAGCTGAGAGGGACCAATAGGTCTCATGTTGTCCCAAAATATTATGTTATGTTAAAATCTAAATATCACATAATAGTTGTTTTTTGTTGCCAGTGCAAGTGGTACTGACAAGTTGTGGCCACTTATGATTTTGAAAGCTAAGTGACCAAAATGCTTAGGAAGTAATTTCAACTCTGCTGTTCATGGAAGATTCAGGTGGATTAAGAATGCCTGGATGACTTCAGCATTGTTCTTGGAGTGGCTGGAGGATATGGACTGAATGATTCACTCAAAGAAGAGAAAAATCATTCTACTTGTGGACAGCACTACTTGTCATGCTGCACCAGATCAGGAGCTGTACCACATCAGTGATATGGGCTATGGATGCTGGCATAATTAGATCATTCAAAGCTTACTACTGGTATTAGCTGATTAAAAAGTATATAAAATGTGCTGAAAATAATGATCCACAGGCTGTAAATGTCTGTGAAGCTTTACAAATACTGCAATGTTACCATAGAAACTATCAAAAACTGTTTCAAGTATGTGAAGACTTTGCAGCAGCTTGAAGACAGTGAAACTCCTGAGCCTGTTCAAATGTCAGAAGTTATTAAAGAAATTATTTATGGAATTCATACCTTAATCTTGAGTAGTAATGATGCTATTTCAGCTGATCAGTGGCTCAACAGCAATTCAGCAGAACCAACTGGTCAAGAGTTGTCAGATGCAGACATCACTTCCATTGTGTTTTTCAAAGAGTGTGGTAACAGTGAAATTAACATTGAAAATGATTCACCAGTCAAGTCAGTCAGTTTGAATAAAGCACGATCTAGCATTAAAGATATGGTTACATGGTTGGAGCAAAATGGTGACTTATGTGAAGGTGATATCATAATGTGTTACTTTCTTAAAGGTGATGAGAAAAAAAGTTCACACAAAAGCAATACTATGTATTATGTAAGTAAGTAAGTAATTGATTTGAATAAAGTGATGTTTTATGTGAAGATAACGAAATTGGTCTTTGATTATGCAACTTGTATATTTATTGGTTACGCATGGAATAATAAACTGATAAGTTTATTACACACAAAGTTGCTTTCTGCTTGCTATTTGCATGCTCACCTTTATTAGTTTGAACCGATACAGTTATTGATTGGTAATGCTTGCTACTAGTAGTGTTCATTGTATTATCATGTTTCCCGATGTCTCGATAATGCAAACAAATTTGTTTGGATTAACAAGGTTTCACTGTACTTGAGTACAGCCTGTCTTGACCATTGTTCAAATAGTAAAGACTATAAAAAGTGTTTTTATATGGGTACTTCTGTACAGCCTTTCTTAAGCATTGTTCAAGTAGTAGAGAACATACAATAGTGTTGCTTTTTATCATCGTTCTAAACTAGGCAACATTATTAATTTAATAAAGATAATAACATTTTTTTGTTAATGATGCCATTTTATAATTTTGATGTCAGATATTAGTAAGTTAGAACAGACACACACATATTTTGATAAAGTTTTATGAAACATACAAGAGAAAAATCAATGGTAAAATACATGTATTTTAATTTGGTGAATACGATATAGTTAATATTAACATCTTTGACATTTCAAACTATTTATAGATGAGTTCTATTAGGATCTTCTCAATACTCTGTTAGATATTTGTGTAAGATGTGTTGTTAAAGTACAGTGTATTATTTACAAGTAAAATCATATATTTATAGAATTCATTTTCTCTAGTCCTGCCCTTCAAGTAAAAATTAAATTGCTTTTGAAAAACCAGTATCTAATAATTAATCATCATAATGAACTTGTTGCTAGAAATGTGTGATGAAGGGTAATCTTACATGTTGAATAGGTTAGATATAATATTGAACGTTAAGTTTACATGAAAATGCTAGTTCTGATGCATTATTTATATCTTTTATAGATTTTCAAAGCTGGTTGAAGGAGGTGAGTGTGAAATTCAGTCAGTTGAATGATGAACAACGTAACCAGACTGTTGACCATATCATAAAACTCAGTGGAACTACACAACTTCATCTTCTTTACAATCGTCTTGAACAGTTGGTCTGTCTTGACTTTTTAAAATTGTTGCCACCAGAATTGCGAGAACAACTATTGTTGTATCTTGATCCAAAAACTTTGATGGTTTGTTGTTGCATTAGTCGGCTATGGTATCATGTAATTAGTTCTTCTGTCAAAATTTGGCAAAATGCATGTAGGAGATATGGCTTTCAAATCAACAGAGACTTTCTTAGCTCAGATGGACCATATTGGAAGCGTTTCTTTATTGACATGAATTATAGAAGAGTTCAACTGAGGAAAGGTCTGTGCTTTGATCACCATGTGTATGATCGTCATCTCCGAAAGGTTACTGCTGTGTATTATGCTAATGGGAAACTTGCAACAGGTATAATGAAATTTGATCTTGAACCAAGTTTTAAAAGTTTTGTTTTGTTATTAGAGTTGTTAATTTTGTATTTTTTCTAGATGTTTAAGTAAGTATGTTTATAAAACTAATAAGTATAATGCACATACATGATTTTGGTTATGACTTGTTTTGTTTGTTCTATAAAGTCTTGTTTTCAAGCAGTAGTGAATGATTTAGATTTTGATGGTGAAGAAACTAATTTTTCACCCTAATAGTTCTATGAATATTTTCATATTAAACACTAGGAATTTTTAATAATGATATTTCTATAATCAAAACTGTTTTTGATTTTTTTTTAGAACATTTTTAAACTTAATAATAGTTACACAACAATATAGATGCTTTTGGAAGTATGTTTTTATAAGGAAAAAGTTTTAAGTAAGTTTTAAAACAGTTTCACACATAATTCTAAGAAAACTGTTATATATGATTTCAGTTTTTTTTGTCTTCTTTTGTGTGCTTTTTCAAACCATCTACCAGCCTCAGAAAGCAAAATTATACAACTGTGGGATTGTGAAACTAATGTATGTCTATTGACCCTGAGAACATATGCCAGTGTAGCCTCAATCAGATTTGATCAAAGCTGGATAATAGTGTCGTCTTACCTTGGTCACCTTGTATCTTGGGACATGGTTACAGGTCAGAGAACAGTGGAATATCAGCGGCATGTTGGTGCAGTTTTCACATTTGATTACTCTAAAGACTTAGGTGTCTTGGTCAGTGGCTCAAGTGATACAAAGATTAAGTTCTGGTCATTAAAAAGAGGAACACTTCTCACAACTTTACAAGAACACACGTCATGGGTTTTGAAAGTCTTGCTTTGTTCATTTCCAAGGTTAGACAACAGTGACAATCGGCGTCATCTCATGTTTAGTATGGACAAGAGTAAAGTTCGTGTCTGGGCTGTGAGTCTAGGCTTTGTGTGGAAAGAACCTGAAGGATTGTATATCACTTCTCTGTATAGTATTCCACTTCATATGGATGGTATGAATTTATTTATACCAGGTTTGCACTTTGACAACGCCTTCCTGTATTTTGTTAAACAGGACCCTCATCTACGTGGTCATTCCTTGTTGTGTAAGTGGAATGTGAGGTTGGGGAAAATGGCAAGAGAGATCAGACTTAATGTAAAAATTAAAGCCTTACTTGGAATTGGAAAAAGATATGCTGCTGTAGTTGCACATTTGAATAATTTTGGAAGCTCAAACTTTTTTGCATTTGACATGAACAATTTGGATCTGGTTGCAGTGTCAAATCTGCCCTGTTCAAGGTGAGACTTTTAGAAGTTTGGCCTTTCTAAATATTTAAACAAATAATTTAACTATAAAGCATCTGTCTTAATCATAATTTCCCATAGAAATTCTGAAATTAAAGCTTAAGCTTATTCTAAGTTCCTTTTAATCATTTCATTATTTAGTTTCATTGTACTTGTACCAATAAATTTAAGAAATGTGTAAAAAAAAGAGTATTTTTTACATCTTTAAGGAATCCATTTGTATTTAGAATTTAGAAAGTTTGTGAGTTTTGGATACAATTTACAACATTCATAAGTATTTCCAACTGGAACCGAAGTTCTTTTTTATTTCACTAGCTCTCATTTTTCAGCTGTGTAAAATATGTGTGGGAAAACCTATTCTAGGCACAAATTACTTGTCTAAATTCTTAAGTAACTGAAGACAAAAGAGGAAGCAAATGTGTGCAGAATCATTTATTAGTCAGGGTGTTCCACATAAAAACAAATTTTTAGATTTAAATTGATAATCATATACTGATGAATTTTTTTTTGTTTGAACAATAAGATTTGATGAATGTATATGTAAAGGCCTGAAAAAATTATGTTTTATGTATAATGATGCTGAACTTTTTCATCACTAATCCAGAGCTTTTAAAATGGGATTCAAAAACCAAGGTAAGATTTTCATATACATAAGAATGACATGATTAACAATAGAGAGAGAGAACTTCAGCAATGAAATGTTTAGATTATAAGCTTCCAGAAACTTGGGACTATGCTGGATTTGTAATTGCTAATGTCTGATTTGACTTAATGTACTGGCATAGCATAGAATGATTTTAGTATGATGCAGGTTCTGAATGAATTGTATGTGTATATATATTTTCATTGGGAAAAGCAGTTTATGTTTAATATATTTGAACATTGAAGTTCAGAAACATTACTTACCTTGCACTATAAAAAGCTTTCACTTCATGTGCACCTGCTGTGGAATTTCCTGCTCATGCTACAAGCCACCTCCCACCTCTACATGTCTGTGTATTGCAATAGCCTATGATAGGGGTTCCCAAACTTTGCCAACTGGTGGACCTCCTTCAACTTCTTTACTGTATTGGTGGACCACCTCCCATTAAAAATAGTTTTTATCATGCATAACTGATGTATCATATGCATATTTTACTACCTTTACAGCTTGATTCTAGTTTTAAGAAAAGAACAATGTAAAAAGATTTAAATATGGAAAATGAAAAAAAACAACTTATGACTTACTTTAATGTGAAGGATGATACTGCTTTGCTGAAATAATCTTGCAAATTTCTGGGTCATTTTCAGACAGTTTCAAATAAAGATCCGTTTCCACATTGATCTTATTTCTATACTTCGATTTCATATAAGCAAGTTGAGAGAAACCTCACATTTTATTTTATTCGTTACTCTTTCAGTAAATGGTAATTTAATAAATTTTATGTATTATTGGGGACCCCCTTAAGTACTATGGTGAACCCCCAGGGCGCCACAGATCATAGTTTGGGAACCTCTGGCCTATAATATAATCATCATAATGCTGTAGCACTCCACAAATAGGAGGGGGACATAACCTCCATGTGCAATAATCCCCATGAACACAGGATCATATGCTCATTTCTTTCCTTGGCACTGCACATGTTCAGTTTTTCCTTTAATTTGGTTGTTTTTATAATTTTGTCTAACCCACCTGATTACAATTTTGTTTTTTCTATAATAACGTTGTTCCGATATGATACTTACCTCTTCTCAAAATTAGCTATTCCTGTTTGGTGCTGCCTTCAATATGCATACTTTTTCTTTATGCATTCCACAAGCCTTTTGCCCCATATTGGAATTGTAATATTCCAATGTGTCTCTCATGCACATCATCATGCATCACTTCTTCACCAATAAGGGCATGACATGCTCACGTGACAAATGTGACTCCTTCTATACTTATCTACCGAATTATCACTTCTCCTTTGGCAATGCTTCTATTCAGACATGTTTAACAATCCACGTTCGGCTTTAGTTTCCTCACGAAGTGGTTTTCTTTAATTATTGAGTTTTCATTCAGACCATTTCTTCACTTTAAAAAATTCTATTAGTTAGCTCCAGTTGCATTATTTTTTAAATCCACTGCTTGAATTTGGTGGACTCTTCACAGTGAATTCTGAAGTTTATGTTATCAATTCGGGGATCATACCAGCAACTAGCATTCTTTCTCAGGTCTCAGTTGTGGGTGACCTGATGGTGGAGTTATCCGCATTTATCTGCCAGGAGATCAAACATTACATGGGCCAGCCTTTGTTTCTGGACCTTGCCCTGGTTTCTCCTGAACAGGCAGAGCTTGTTCAGACTGATGAGGAGTTGGATCTTCTATTTATGCCTCCTGATTTTGCTATACCTTCCCATCCCCCACCTGAGGAATTGGTTAGGCCTAACTCTGTCTTTTTTGGATTTTGTTTCTCAAGTATGTGACATTTTATTCCTTTCTCCTATTTCTCATGAGCCAAGTCCTTCCTTACAACATGAACAATCCTTTCATCCATTTTTGGTTTTTCCTCCTCCCCTGATACTCGGGTTCATGCTGATCAACTTGCCTCACAATTAAGCGATGGGATTAGCATGCCTTGCTCCCGGTGGGCTTCAGAGCAGTTCAAGCTTTCACACCATTGTGCTGACTACCCCTTTTTGGACCAACAGTTGTTAGGTTCTATATTGCTTGTTTGGGGGTGACTCTCGAATCACCAGTCAGTCTGACCCATGCCCAGTTTTCTTGCTTGCATATTACCCTTACAACTTATTCATGGTATATTTCTTTTCTACACCTCCTCTCTGAAGTTCTCCACAAAAATCCTGAGAGGGTTTCTGGGGATACCTTTTTTCTTCTTTCCTCGTTTGTTGTCTTTGACTCTGGCATTGCATTCATGGTTTCTCTGTCGTTTAAGACCTTCTAGGTTGTGATGTGATTTTGGCTCAGGGCCATTTACCATCAACTTATTTTCAGGATTTACGTATGGCCCCATTTCTGTGGGGGATACGTTATTGACACGATCCCAGAAGTGCTAGAGCCATGGGTGGCATTGGTCCAACAACAATCCACTCTTACCAATATTGTTGCACGTTTGTCTCAGTCAGAGCCCCATATGTTACATATTACCATTTCTCATCCTACCTCTTCCCAACAATTACCATAGATTTATCTTGCCTAAACTGCTCCTTTCACCTGCCCCGGTTTACCTATGGTGGATCATTTCTCTGGGATTATGGATGACCAAAATGGATGTCCCCAATACTTATCTCTATATACGTATATGACCTCGGTCTTGTCTTTATCTTCAGTTTGTCAATCTTCATGCTTTGGGTTTGAGTTTTCACTTTTACATGGATGACTAGCTTCTTCTGGCTCATTCCAAATTGGAGTTGGCCAGCCATACTTGGCAGCTCCTTTCAGTGGCTGCTTGAGTGTGCTGGTTAATCAAACTGGAGAAATCCTTCCTCAGAGCTACTCAATATCATATCCATTTGGGGTCCTTTTCGACACTCGTATCAGTTGGGCCCAACCTTCTCTTGTAAGACTTCGTTCTATGGAATTATTAGTTTGCCATGCCCTCTCGGTTCAATCACTTACTGCTCGCAAGGTTGTATCGCTTTTGTAAATGTGGTATTTAATGACATGACTGGTCCCTCTCGATCATGCCTATAAGAGATCCCTTCATGGGGCTCTTCACGATCAATGGAACTTTTCATGGGATCCTCCTTTTACTCCTGTTACCTTTCCTTTTAACCTGCAAAACAAGCTGCTTTTGTGGTTGGACAAGGGACATACTTCAGTGAGTGTGCCACTTCCTCCTCTGCTTCTGGATCTACATTCTTTCATGAATGCATCCCTGCAGAGATGGGGTGCATGGGTCAACCCTCAGGAAGCTTCGGGCTGTTGGTCTGTGGAGGAAAGTGCTTTGCATATCAATGTTCTCGAACTTCTAGCTGTACAATGGATGTTGAATCACTTCCTTCTTCTCACTTGACATTGTCTGGTGATGGTTCATTCAGACAATTCTATGGTGGTGGCACATATCAATAACCAAGGGGACACTTGGTTTAGAGATCTATGTTTTTGGACATTGGATCTCTTATACTGTGCCCATACTCAACACATTCATCTCATTGTGTGTGTCATATACCGTGTGTTTTCAGTATTGTTGCAGATCATCCTTCCTGCCCCAACTGGATATATCTGACAGAGTGGTCCTTAGATTCCCTTGTTTTTTGGGGAGCTTTGCACTTGGTGGGTTTCTCCCCACGTGGATGACTGCTACGAGCCTCAGTCACAAGTTACCTCTCTTTTGGTCACTGATCCCTCATCCTCAGGCTCTGGAAATCAATACATTCAGCCAAGATTGGTCCCACAATTATCTTTATGTTTATACTCCTATCAGAATACTTCATTGGGTGATCTCTCTCATCAATACCACTCTTTGTTGGGTTCTTCTGATTGCTCATTATTGGCTGGGTACCGAGCTCATGCTGAAAGAGTTAATTCCAACCCTGAGTAGTGGAACCTCAGCTATCTGATTGGGGCTGGCTTAAAGTGATGATCAATCATGTACAATTACACCCACAATACAGGAATTAAGCTCAGGGTGAAGAGCATAACTGTTCTGAATGTATTGTGGTTCCCTTGCTAGGGTGCCAATCTTCTACTGACACACCCATGATCTATGCAGATGCTTTCTGTATGGATAATGCCCTCCACCTTCTCAATGTGGGATTCTAGTTATAAGTGGGAGTGGAGGTATGTATGTATGTAATGAAAATTAACATTTTCATAAATTGAAAATGTATTTCCAATAATATTTACCTCCTATCACACACTTCTGCTCTTCCTTTCTACTCAGAGCCAATGTTAGAGCATGGGATGCAGTCAGTCTCAAAAATGTGACAACATTATCTGAATTAGGTGTTTACATACAGTATCACTATAGAGGGTGCATCGACGTAGGTGGAGAGTGTCATAAGACAAATAT